CCTTTTAGGAATCTTTATTAAAAAAATTTTTTTTTTTAGGCAATTGAGGTTAAGTGACTTGCTCAGGGTCACACAGCTAGTAAGTGTCAAGTGTTTGGTCTGAGGCCCGATTTGAACTCAGGTCCTCTTGACTTCAGAGCCAGTATTTAGGAATCTTTATTGAAAGACACTGGGGAAGGAACTTGAAAGAACAACGCATAGATAAGCCTCTGTAGGATCCTAGAGAACTTTCCAGAATTGAGAAGATAGACAAACACACCAATTGTATCCTACTTTATTTGCTGAAGACAGCAAATGTCTAACTGAGGGAAAGAATGGCAGGCATTGGATTGGAGAATGGCTTGTGGCATGCTGATTCTGTGCCCCGGCCACTTCCAGGAAAATATTGGCTACCTGGCAGCAAAGGGGTTTTCTACCTGGTGAGAAAGACCACTAACAAGGGGAAAAGCTGGCCTGGCTTGCTAGAGGACACAAACCTGGAAGAGACTGTTTGCACAACTCAGACCTAATGTGAAATGTAAAAGGTCTGTTCTGGAGGCCAGCAAACTGAATCACATCTTGATGCATCAACCTTCTGTGAGAGTATTACTAGAGTTTCTATTTCCTTTTAAAATTCTTTATTATGTACTTCTGTGTCTGTGTTTAGCATTTCTTTTGTGTAGAAAAAATAAATAGCTGTCTCATCCCTGATATTAGACATTTTGTGGGGTACTTTAATCAGGAGCCAAACCTAAACTTTAGGCAAATTTCCTAGGGTTCTGAGGCATGGAATGTAAAGGATCTAAAGTGTGAGAAAAGGAGGTTAGCCCGTTTCATTAAAGGCCAGAACTGATTAGTGACCGTACGTGGATCCAGAGCACAGGGGATCCATAGTGGAAAGGGAGGTGGCGAAATGCCCCAGCCCCTTCAGTGGTGCATAGTCTTACACACATGCTAATTAGTAATTCACTTAGCTCTTAAGGAATAAAATAGAAAGGGAAGGAGGTACTAGATTGTTTAGGGTCTTGCAAAGACTTGAGTTTTACTTTTTCCTGTAAGCAATAGGGAGCAAAAGAATGTTCTTGAACTGGGGAATGACCTTAGGTAGTAGTGGTGAATGAAGAGGAAGGAGATACGATGTGGAGAAGGGTAAGACAAAGACAGTTGGCAACAGATTAGATGTGTAGCATGAAGGACAGCCACAGACTCAATGACCTGGTAGTGTTCTAGGACTAACGTTAGTCAGCATTCTCATGGAGATCTCGCAAAGGCAGCATCTTGTATGTTTGGGGGGGAAAGGAGTAGAGAACTCCAGGGCAAGAGAATTCTAACTAAAGCGAGCTATATTTTACTCAGTCTGGGTTACATAAAAAATTTTCAAGCACATTTCTAATTACGTTATATATTTTTTCTGCTTTGATATATTCTGTTCGCTTGTAAATAAATAACCTTGCTTCATCTTCAGTATGGCTTACATGGGGTAACAGGAAGAAAATAGGTACTAGAATCAGACATCTCATTTTGATTCTATTTTAGGGTGATAGAAAACAGAATTTATTGGGATCAGGTGTCACATATCTCTGAAAGCAGGGACCCAAGCTAGCTTGGGTGTCCTGATACGAGGGTTCAGTGATCAGTAATATTCAGAAATTAGTAAAGGAAAATTCCTGAGAATGTCACAGACTGGTCAGCAGGTGCTGTGGGCACGTTAATAAGATTAGCAAGGTCATAGCTGAGAGTCAGATATTTACTAGGCCTTAATATTTCTCTATTTTGAAATGTTGAAAAATGTGAAAGATGGAAGTTCCAGAAAGATAAAGAAACAATCTTAAGCGAGGAAAACTTTACAGTGAAATGTGAGGCCAAGCTCTAAACTGCAATGGGATTAAGAAACTTATCCAGGAGATACTTAGGTATAGATATTTGGGAATATGCATGGAACAGGATGCTTGAACCCATGGGAGCAGAGACCAGCAGGGAAAAAGAATGCACATAGAGAAATAAATCCAAGCCAAGGCAACATTCCTTGTGAGATGGGATGAAAACCTGGCACAACAGCCTGACAAAATATAGTGAGACAGGTGGGAAGACAAAGTCAAGTTACAGAAGCCAGGGGAGAGTATCCAGAAAAAGGGGTGAGGTGGGGAGTGGGGGTGTGTGACAGCATCAAAAGTGACAAAACTCAAAAAAAAAGCCACTGGATTTAGCAGTTAAGAGATTGCTTTTATTGCTTACCCTGGAGAGCTAAAAAGCCAGATTGAAGGGGATGGGAAGGAAGTATGTGGTAAAAAAACCCATAGATCCAGGCTTTTTAAAAGTTTGGCAGTGAAAAGGAGATCTAGGACAACTTGAAAGCTATCAAGGACAAGGATAAAGGTTGCTTAAAAGATAGCGCAGATAATTATGTTTATTGACAGTGAGAAAAGAGCCAGCAGAGAAAAACAGAAAATGAGAGCAGGAATGATGCACGATAAAGAGCATGGGGAAGAGGATTTGTCTTGGCAAGAAGTACCACCTTTGCCTCAGAGACAAGTAAAATGGGAGATGAGTGAAGATGTAAAGGGGTTTATGGGTGGGATGAGGGAAACTTATGAGAGATGGTTGATTTTTTTTTCTCCCAGTAGTGGTTTGATGTCTACTGGGAAACAGGTGGATTTGACGTAGTACTGAGGTCTTACAATTAAGATCTGGAACAACCAAAGAGTGTGAATCAATTAAGGAACTGCTTGCCACGTAGTACCAAGGGCTCAGCTGAGTGCCCCAAGAGCACTGGATTGGTAGGGTGTGAAGAGTGGTAGGACAATGAGGGCAGGAGTGCTGTACAATGTTATTGATCTGAAGGATGAGGGGGTACAGGCAGGCATGGCAGATCATAGGGAACTTGGAGATCAGATTTAGAAGGAATAAGGCAGAGGAAGAGAAAATTATCAAGAGAGGGGAAATCAAAATGATGGCTGTCTTGTCAGTTATCTAAGATAGGACCATACCTGTGGAAGGCTGAGGTAAAGATACAGGTCACACAAGTTGAAGATGATAATGAAGAAATGAGGCAAGGGGAACATGTCCCCAAGTCAGACATGGATTTGGGTGAACAGGAAGACTGGTCAGCATACTGATTATATTCCAGCAACATTCTAAAAACTAACAAATTAATGTCAGAAAATGCCATGAAGTCAGTGAAAGAACGTAACTAGATCCTGAATGTGACTAATTTTTTTCTACCTTCTTTGTTTTAGACGTGAACAACGTGTACTTCTCTTCTTCATGCTCCTCCAGGTATAATGCGGGATGCTTCTTTAAAGTCCTTCTGATGATAAGAGTTTTGGCTGAGACAGTAACTACACCACCACCAACTTCACTTCATCTTACTCATTCCTTCTCTCTTATTATCCAATCCCAAGTGGGGAGGAAGAGTGGTATAGAATAAAGAACAGTGGATTTGGAACCAGAAGACATGAATTAGCATCCCACCCCTGCCATTTACTACCTGTGGGACTTCAGGCAAGTCTATTTTAATTTCTCTAGGCCTCAGTTTCCTGATCTGAAAAGTGAGGTGGCTGGATCAGATGCCCTGAGGGCCCTTGCAGCTATAAATCTGTAATCTTATGACTCTCCTCCAAAACTCTTTTCTGGGTATATAATAATTTCACTCACTTAGTATTTTTGCATGTAGTAATTTTTTTTATCCTCACATTCCCAAGAAGAGCAAATTAATACTTGAGGCCAGAATGATTACATCATCTCCCCTCTTTTAAAAACATCCCCATTTTGAACATCCCAAATCAGACTCAAACTGCATTCGTTAGCAACCATTATCATTTATGCCCCATCTGTTATTAAGGTTAATGGATAATAACAGGTCAGAACCCCCACTTAATAAGTAAGCTCTCTACCTTGCTAGTAAATACCCACTTCCCTTCCTTTACCCCTCAACTCCACCCTGAGCTACAAAAGTACTAATGCAAGTTAAATCAGCTTCCTTCCTACTTGCTAAACATTGACTTACCCAAGGTGAATAGTTATTTACAAAACACATACAGCTTTTGGAGCTTTTTGATTTTAAGCAGATACCTTATAAAACTAGTTCATAAATGATGCTTATTTTCAGCCACCACCCTAACCAAAGAAACCTTTGGTTTGACAAAACTAAATTTACAATAAGGTGAACTAGCTTTTCAAAGCTATTTGTGTTTTAAGACATAGGATGCCTGCAGAAGGAAATAATCATTCCAAAGAAGTGAAGTAGTAGAATGTTAGGTGTAGCAAAAAAACTGAGTAGGGGAGACATTAAAATTTTTTTTTTCCTTTTTGTAAGGGTGAGATTAAGTAAATGGCCAGGTAGCCAATTATGGACAAGACATGGGAAAACCTGATAAAAATCCCTTGTCCATGTATAAAAAAATAAGGCCCCATTACCTTCAATCTTATCCTTTATGCCCATGTGTTTAACTCCCATGTCTGTTTGCTTCTCTGAAATTCCTCTAATGTGTATCTAGTTTTCACCATCTCTCAGGTGAGGTGCTGTAGTATTTAAAAATTATGCACAGCTCATTTTCAGTCTCAAACTGTCCACGTCGGAATGTGGACATTTGAAAATTGTTTTTTCGTGCACATTTAATAGCAGATTATGGTGTGTATTAAGAGAGCATGACATAGCTTTATGTATGCACTGTGATTTATTGTGCCTTTTGCTTTAACATTAATATCTATGGAATTTATTTAGCCTAACTGTTAAATAAATGGTTATGTCTGGGAAAAAAAACTCTCATCCCTCATGCAAAGCCCATAGAGCGATTATTGGCCACACTGCAATCAACTTGTCCAAATAATTACAAACTGAACCTTCAGAAACCAGATCCTGAATAAGACTTTCTTTCCTGGAAACAATAAACAACGTACATTTTGACAAGGAATTAACCCAGGCAGACAGGAGGCCAACAATAACCAGAAATTACTTGACCAAGGTGAAAAATTCATTTTTGTTTTTACAAGGCTACGTCCTCGAAAGTTAAAAAGGAAAATTGGTTCGTAACTAGAATGAGAAATTTATTGGTTCAAAATACATTGCTTAGAGCTTAAACTAAGCAAACTAACTTTATTTCAACTTTACGCTCTTTTTCACTCCAGCACGAATGCCAGACAGTTCACCGGCATATCTGTATTCTTCCGTGCGAACCGGACGCACCTGACCCCTTCTCCTGATTTTGGCTCTCCTGAACTTCTCCCGATGTTTCACTCTGGGGTTCCTGTCCACTTTCTTCCTTCGGGGCGTGAGTCCCTTATTTTTGGCAATCTGGTAGGTAATGGCTCTCTTTGCATTCGGCTCTTCGGGCGCCTCTCCCTCCCGGCCCTCGGCCGCCTCCTCTTTCTTCCTCTTCAGTTTCACTCTCTCTTTCCACCTCTCTGTACTGCTTCCGAGCGGCTTCCTCGTCCACGTCGGAGTCATCCTCGGGGCCTGGGGCTGCACTCACCGCGGGAACCTTGGAAGGGAGCTTCGGCTTGGGCCTCCTTTTCGGGTCCGCGGTCCCTCTGCTGGCCGCAGCGCCCGGCGACAGCAGCCGGCGGACCTCCCCGGACAGTCTGCGGTCCACCAGGGCCAGCCGGTTGATCAGGTTCCGGTAGGTGACGAGCCTCTCGATGACGGGGTGCCCGTGCACGGGGGCGCGCCGGGCCTTGAGCACCAGGTAGAAGCAGATGTTGGAGCAGTAGTGCAGGTAGAGGCTGTACTTGGTCCGCAGGTAGCGGCTGCCCTTCCCGGGCGGCACCACCCCCGCCTCGGTCAGGCGCAGCAGCGGCTCCAGCTCGTCCCTCAGCTCCCTCAGCTTGGCCTTCAGGTCCTCGATCAGCTCCAGCAGCTCCGGGGACTCCCTGCGCAGCAGCTTCAGCTTCTCCTTGGCCGGCAGCCTCTGCGGGTCCGCGACCACGCGGGTGCGGGCCTCCTCGGCCCGGGGCTGGGCCTGGGACGCCTCGCCGAAGGCCTGCACCCAGCTCAGGCCGAAGTCGTCTTCGTGCAGGGCCTGGGCCAGGCGCCGCTGGATGAGCTGCGCCTCCTCCTCCTCCTCCCGCTCCTCCTGCTCGGCCTCCTGCTGGCTCTGCCGCCCCCCCGGCCCTTGGCGGCCCGGTAGTCCGTGTCGTAGTAGAGGTTCTTCCTCCGGCCCCACGACAGGCTGGGGTCGGCGTCGGCGTCGTCCGCCTCGCTGAGCGCTGAGCTGCCCCCCACGCTGTCCGCATCGTCCTCATCCTCCTCATCCTCCTCCTCGGCCACGTCCAGGCCTAGCACCTCCTCCTCCTCCTCGGGGTCCTCTGCCCCGCTCTCCCCGTCGCTCCACGAGGCCGCCAGAGCCGCCTGCGACCGCGCCTCATGGAAGGCATCTACCTGGTCCTGGAAGTAACTGGGGTCTCCCGGGGACGGCGGCGGTCCCTGCTCTTCCTCCTCCTCCTCCTCCTTCTCCTCTTTCTGGGTCCGAGCTGGCCGGCGCTGCGCGACCCCACGCTTCCGCGCCTTGCCCACCATCGCGGCAGCGGCTCCGGGAACTGCTCGTGGCTCAGAAGCAGCCTATTCCCGCGCGGCGCCGACACCGGACGTCCGGGAGAGATTCCGCCTCGCTTCCGTTCCCAGAATGCTTGGGCGCGAGATCGCCTGGGGCACTTCCGTCGACGGCCGTTGGACGTCATCTCCGTCCACGTACTCTTGAGCGTCACGGACTTCCGGCGCGCTCCCAACAGCGCTCCACATGGGCATGGCGGCGAAGCAGGATCTGCTTCTTGCACGAGCGCGCACGGTCACGTCAGGAGGGCGGGGCATCGCGAGAGCTCGGCGCTGCGTCGCGGCGGGGCGAGGGACTGGGGGGGTGACTTCCGCCTCCCTGCTTAGCGCTTCCGCGCCATTGGACCATTCGGCTGTCCATCAGCGAGCGGCGCCTTTAGCTGTTGCCGGGGGGCCCGCGGGCTTCTGGGAAAGGCCCGAGCCTGTGATTTCCTCCCCGAGGGCAGGAGCATCGCCCTCTGCCGACTAAGACCCACAGTGTGAGGGGGTGCTCCAGGCGCCTGGAAGGGGACCCCAAGTAAGGAACGGGGCCTGGGCCCGGTGGGTCACCGGAGGTCAGTCAGGGAACGCTTATACGCCTACTGTGTGGCAAGCGCCGTATTAAAGCGCTGCACATACCGAGCAAGGCCAAAGACGGTTCCTGCCCTCAGGGAGCTTACAGTCTGACAACAAGCTAACCACTGTGTACGACCGAGCCGTGGGCAGGATAAGGAGGCAATCGGAGGGAGGCCGCAGGCATTAAGACTTCCCGCGGGGGCTGGGATTGAGCTAGGGCCCGTGGGAATGAAGGAGTCCAAGATGAGGAGGGAGAGAGTGCCAGAGTCCCTCCACCAGTGCAGGTTGCCACCCCTCCTGCAACCCGCCGGTGCTGCTGGGGACGGGAAGTGACTGCCCAGGGTGACCCACGCTCCCAAGCCAGGCTTGAACCCTCCGCCCTTTCCCTAGTCTCGAGACTATCCTCTCGTGCTCCTTTTTCGACTTTTAAAAAAAGTTTACATTTAGAAATTCTGCATCGGGCCAGCCCCCGAAAGACGATTTCCCCCCCCATAAAGTAGAACAGAAAAGAGAAGGTTGCCCCTGAAGCTACTAATCTGTATTGCTTACAGCTGTCTGTTAAAGTATGCGGGCTGCCCCAGAAGTTTCTAGTGATGTTTTAAGCTTTAGTAGTGTCAGACCAAAAATAGCTTAAAATTTTTAGTTGTTTGAAAGTCTTGTCGTTGTTAGAGTCATCTGACTCTTCGCGACCCTGTTTGGGGTTTTCTTGGCAAAGATACCGGAGTGGTTTGCCATTGCCTTCTCCGGCTCATTTGACAGATGAGGACACTGAGTGAAGTGACACAGCTAGTAGGTGTCTGATGACCGATTTGAACTCAGGTCTTCCTGGCTGCAGAGGCAGCACTCTATTCACTGCACCACCTAGCCGCCCTGCATTAAAAGCTTTAGTGCACTTTAAGTTTTAATAGCTTAAAAAGGCTTAAAATATCTTAGAAAAAAGCTTAAAGTTTTTTTTAATATTTTAGAAGTCTTAAGACAGTTGTGAGCTTTAATAGCACTTAAAACTGCACTGACTTGGGACACCCTATAATTCACGACTTGTCTTATATCTTCATATTTTCTCGTTCCTACTGACCTTGTTTCTGTTCTCTACTGCATATTCATTATTAATTTTTTTTTCCAGCAAAAACACATCCTTAACCTCTATTTACTGTGAACCAGTAAAGTGAATGGTCTCATACACTGTTGGCAGCAATTGCTTGCTGTCCTTGGGTAACAGACTAAAAGGGCTGCTTTCATATTTGTACAAGTTTCTCCTCTCTTCCCCCTTTTCCCCTGTCTTTGAACTGACTTTTCTTATTTTGATAATAAATTCTGCTACTTGCATTCCAGATACTCCCCTTTTCTCCCATAGCTGATCATCTTCTTTCTCTCCCTCTCCCTCTCCTAGGAAATGATTTATTTTTACATCCTCAGTTGCTGCAAAATGCTGCTGATTGTGTAGTCTAAGCTGTCAGTGAAAGCAGATTCCTTTGCATTATAATAAATATCAGTTTGGCCTCTTGTCTTTGACCCTAAATCATCAATCCCTGATAATAGGTTTGCCTCTCCCAAGATGTTAAGAGAATTCCCCAAACTATTGATCTATTAATTAAAAATTCAATGACCCTTTCTCAGGCCTTTTCTGTAACATATAACACTGTTGATCACCCCAGTCTGCTAGACACCCTCTTTTCCCTAGATTTTTATGACAGTTTTAGTTTTTCTCTTACATCACTGATAGATCTTTCTCAGTGACTTTTGTAGTTCCATCATCTATGATAAAATCCCTTATGTGTGGGCATACATCCAAGCTCTGTCCTGGGCTCCCTTCACACTCCTTTAGTGACTTGGATTCAATATCATCCATATGTAGATGGCTCCCAGATTTATACATCCGGCCCTCATCCTGCATCACCAGCTGTTTATTGGACATTGGATAGCTCCAACCCAACATGTCCTTAATGAAATTCACTCTCTCTCTCTCTCTGTCTCTCTCTGTCTCTCTCTCTGTCTCTCTCTCTCTCTCTCTCTTCTCTCTCTCTCTCTCTCTCTCTCTCTCTCTGCTCATCTCTGGCAAACCATCCTTCTCTATTTCTGTTGAGGGTACCTCCGTCGTAACCTTGGTGCTATCCTCAGTTCTTTCCACTCCTTTATCCTGTCATGCAGTCGTTTGCCAAGTCTTGTAGATTCCACCTATGCAATATCTCATGTCTGCCTCTTTTTCACATGGCCCACCAGTCTGGCGATCACCTCTCAAGCCTTGATCATCTCCCCTGAGCTATAGCAATAGCCTTCTAATTGGCCCCTCTGTCTTTAGTCTCTCTCCACTGTGTGACCACATCACCCTAATGTTCAAGATGATCCAGTCTCTCTGTTTGCCTCTAAACATTTGATAAAACTTAATATGTTTGTCTTTTAAAGCTCTTTACAATTTTGTTTGAGCTTACATTTTATTTCTGGCCAAAAAAACTATGTAGGGAAGGGAGTGTTTTGTTTTTTCTTTCTATCTTTAGTGTCTAACATGGCTTGTAGCAGGCCTAATGAATATGTGTTAAATAAAATGGAATGTTTTAGGTGCCTTAAAGCCTTTGCAAGGTAAATTCTGGAGATGTTTCCAGTGGGCATAGGAAAAATTTTTTTAAAAAAGCCTCTACTACTAAGGAATTGATTTTGCACATTAATCCCTTTATGCATTCTTCCTATCCCCCATTCATCTAATCAGATTCCATTACTTTCTGTTCTCACACATGGCATTCCTTCTGTCTCTATGTCTGTGCCTAGGCTGCCCTCAATACTCGGAGTGCACTTCATTCTCATGGCTGCTTCTGAGGTCCCTTGGTTCCTTTCAAGGCTCAGCTTAGGTACCATCTACAGGAGGTCTTTCCTGTTTCTTCCCCCCCCCCCAACTATTAGTGCTTCTATATTGCTTCTGAAATAGTTTGTATTTACCTTGTTATCTTAAATGTGTAACTGTTATTTCCCCAGATAGTGTTTAAATTCCATGAGTGCAGAGATTATTTTTTTCTTTCTTTCTTTCTTTTTTTTTTGTCTTGGTATCCCTAGCACAGTGTCTGGCACAAATGTTTATTAATTTGTTAACAACAAGGACTAAATATGTTGCCTTTCTTTGATACTGTGATTTATATAGACTGGTAAAGTCTGGAGGGAGTCAGTTTTCCAGTGAACCCGAGTTCTTTCTCTGATTTTGGGGATGGTGGAGGTTCAACTCTGTGTGGTGGCATTGTTCATCTGGAGTGACTTTATAGGCATTTGGGAAAGATGGGGCTCATCATACTGCTTGGTTGATTGACTCTGTAGAAACTTTTTGTTGTATTTCAGTTGATTCAGTCGTGTCTGTCTCTTTGTTACCCTGTTTAGGGTTTCTTGGCAGAGATATTGAGGTTGTTTGCCATTTCCTTCTCCAGCTCATTTTACAGATAAGGAAACTGAGGGTGAAGTGACTTGCCTACAGTCACACAGCTAGCAAGTGTCTGAGGCTGGCTTTGAACTCATGAAGATGAGTCTTCCAGACTCCAGGCCGGGCATGCGTCCACTGTGCCAATAGCTGGTCCTCTAGAAACTAGCAATCCTTAATTTTCCCACTCGATGAGGGATGGTTGAGGCTCGATTACAGGGCAGCACCAGAGGTCTGAAGGGTTGTAGAGGTGCTTTGGGAGGAGGCAGGCCCTGTTACAGAGAGAAAGACTGATCCAGGCTTGATGACTGACTGAGTACTAAGTGCAGAGAATACGAATACTAATGAAAAAGACAGTCCTTGCCCTCAAGGAGCCTACATTCCAATGGAGCAGAGGTTCCCAAAGTAGGCATTACCCCCTTCTGGGGGGCACTGGAATGATGCAGGGGGTGGTGATAGCTTTGAGAATATTGGGGAGCACTGAATAAAACTAAGGGGGCACAGTGGAAGTATAAGGGAAGAATAGAAGAAAGTTTTGAAAAACCGTTTGTACATGTTTCATCTGTTGTGTAACAATTAAAGTCATAATGATTCCATTAGTTTCCAAATAAACACACAAAATGCAAGTTATAACCCATCAGTAGTCAAGTACAGTTGGTTTTAACAAGCAGGTTTTGGCAGAGAGCTTATCACTCATTGTGGGGGAGTCCAGCATGCACTGGCAGGAATATATGCATGTAATGACTTGTTTACAATATACTACATAGTTTCACGATGCAGTATTTGCCTTTTTAAAATTTCAATGCAGAAAAAAACCCACAAATTTACAGTAACTTATTAAATTTAAGATGAGTCATTTGAAATTTTTTTGAAATGATGCAAATTAAAAAAAAATATTAAAGGGTTAAAGAAAGTAAATTTCCAGGGGGACCTTGAGTAATTATTTTTGGGAAAGGGTCGGTAGGCCAAATAAGTTTGGGAAGCTCTGTAATGGGAATAAAGAGGACCCAGAAAGTTGGGAGGAGTGGTAACATTGAGGGGCAAGGCTGCTGCTGAGAAGATGGAGAAGTCCAGAGTGAAGTGAGCGGGGCCTGGGCACCATGAAATGATGGTTTGGGGTGGGGACTTA